TTGGCGACCCCTAGTGGGGATCCCGACCCCCAGGTTGGGAATCACTGCTTTAGGTAACATGCTAACATGTTTTTGGACTAGGACAATGAGGTTAAACTACGCTTGTAGCTCATATCTCAGTGTCTCTGTGGCAGGCAAGAGCAATCAATCAAAGAAAGCATTTAAAAAAGTTTATAACACTGGTTCTTACATTTAATCACAGTCTGTTATTATTATATCATCATTACGGCACTGACAGTCGCAATAGTCATGACCGCTGGACACTGATGACCATGATCTTGTCCTAAACGTCGGCCATGAGCCAGATATTGACTGATCAGAACCTGAACAGCTCCCTTTAGTCATGACCTCTGGCAACTCATCTGTCTCTCCTTTCATCCTTAACCATCACCCTCCTCCGTCTCCTCTTCATCTCCTACGCTCTCTCTCTCTCCCTCCGGCCATCGCTGATCATCTATCGATTTCCCATTACAAGCGGAATACAGACATTGATCCCACACCTCTCTGCTCCCCCTCTGGGTACTAGTAAGAGGGTGATATCATGCACACACACACACACACACACACACACACACGTGTGAACGGTCATGTCGCAGGCCGCGGGGAATTACAGCTGTGTGTGTGTCTCTATGCGTGTGTAAAGTTATATCATCAAATTTCATCAAACCTCAGGCTGCATTCAATGACAAATAACCAAATAAAAGTGAGGAAATAAAAACCACAAAGGTGGAAGAAATGGATTTGGAAGGACTACAGTTTTATGCCGTGTGTGTGTGTTTGTGAGCACGCCTGTATGTGATTCCATCTGTTTCAATGTTTAATTCAAGTGTGTAAAAATAAAACACTTCCTCCTCGGGCTAGAGGAGAGGGAGAATGGAAGAACAAAGGGAGAAAAGACATGGATCAAGAAAGGGAGGGAGGAGGATGAAGCAAAAGACTGAGAGAGCCTGAGAGAAACAGAAAAAGACAGAGGAGATAGGCGGGAGGGAGAACTGTCTCCACCTCACTCCTCTCCCTCTCTCTCTCTCCTCCTCAGCTCCTGGTATATCACTAGGTAGCATCCTGGGGCTTGGTGATGGCAGATTGCATTAGAGATATGGGCCTGATATTTCATCTAGCCTTTATTACATTTAGTTCACATCAATTGGCTGGCAACCTGGAGGTAAGAGCTATTTGGCACGCGGCCGGACTCCCCCTGAAATGAAATCCTGAATTAAAGTGCCACCTCAGACATGGAGCGGCTGCATAAGGCTGCGGATTTGATTGCTGCAGCACAGCTGCGGTTTGGCTACGTTACATCGTCCGAGTACTGACAGTTTGAACCCACTGAGGGAAAATCACCAGCTGGCCGGGGATATTAGCCAGAGTTCAGAGTTCCTCTTTTCCTGGGCTGACAAAGCAGTTTTACTGGTTTTATAAGGGCCTAAAGTGCCCGAGGGAGGATATGATGGCTGATCATATGCCGACAGGTTGCATGCTTAAATGTGTACTCCACTGAAAACATATGTTCATTTAGAATCTTTACAACCATGTTATCATCCATATTTTGTCTGTCTCAGTGATCAGCAGTCCAGACCACATGGCTCTGCGTCTTTCAGGTAACACACAGCACTGGTTTTCTCTGCTGTGATCCCAGCTGTCACGCAGATTTTCAGCCTTGACCGAGATGGTGAGCCCTCCACCTCTGCAGCCCCGCGGCTCCCCTCGCCCTAACCTCGTGGAGGACCGTGAAAACATGCAAAAATCTACTCTCTGCTCGCTCACACTGCCGTGCCTAATCATACAGGCAAAAAAAAAAAAAAACAAGAAAGAAGGAAGCTAGCCCTAACTGTGCTACAGGGCTCGGATCAATCCAGGGAAAAAAGCATAGCACAGGACGGAGAGAGCAGGAATATCGAGCTGCACTTTGGCTTTTCCCACTTATTTCTGCTGCTGTATATGTGCCCTGAAGGGAAATGCATCCTCCATGAAACACAGAAGGGCAAACACATTAGCGTTAGAGGTTATGCATAAATAAATGTTGGCGTGATCCCCTATTTCTCTAATGGGCCTCTAAAATGGGGCTTATCACTGGGAGGCTGGATTGATGGATGGATGGATGGAAGGCAGAGGGAAGCGGAGCGGCTAGTCCTACAAACTAACACTCACTTGCATGCTTGTAGAGTTACTCACATGCAGATGCTTCTTCCCACCCACGCTCACTGATTCTCTCTCTCTTACACACAACACACACTCACATACAAAAGGATGAAGGGAGATTGAGTGGGAGTGTGTGTTAGAGGGCAGGCCATGGCCTCGGTCCCTCCAGGCGAGCGTTAAAAAAAAAATAATAAATAACCCCCCGTCTAAATAAAAACCTCTGCGGTGAGGAGAAAAGAGGAGGCATTTCAGTTTTTTCTTCCTCCTCCCTTGGCCTCCTCCTGCCCTGCTTGCCTTGGGCTGTGAGAAACTGCTTGACACACTGCTTATCAACAGCTGAGCCATTCCTCTCTCCTCCACTACAGCGGGGAAGTCCGGCGTGTGCTACAGTGTTGACACTGTGACGCTGGTGTAAAATCGTTATTACTCAGAAACATATTGCAAGGGAGATAATTATGCAACATTTTTGCCTTTGACAAAAGCGACGGGAACCTGGAGACACAAAGCCTGAGACATCAAAATAACATTTCCAGTTCACTGCGATGTGACACAACTGTGTGAATAGAAGCGACAATCATTACAAAACCCTTTCACCAACAGCAGCCATTGATGTCCTCATGAAAGTTAAATTTTTCTCCTGGCCAGACAACGTGCTTTGTCAGTGAACAATGCAAAAAAAACACCCATCTAGGATTATTAATTCTGTAACTGACAGAGAGATGGCAAAGCTGGAGAAAAATAAGAAATAAATGAGCATAATTGCAGGGACTGCTGGTAAATCTAGTGTGTGTTCACTTTCAATGGACAATGGCAAAGAATGGGTGATGTGTGTAACATTCTCACTGACTCAGTTGTATAAAAGTGGATTAAACAGTGGAGACCGTGACTTCTCCCTCCTTCCTCTGAGGTCAAAGACAATAGAAGACCATATGATTTGGATTATTCATGTCTCTGAGAAAGGAAACTGACCAACGCAGGCATATCCAGACAAACAGCTGGGCCTCATTCCCTTCTTCTCCTTCTCCTTGCCTTCCCTGTTTATTCTCACTCTGCCTATCCCTCCCACAAACTTCAAGCTACATCACGATATTTTCTATTTGGTCTGACTTTTTCCCATACTATCTGCCCTCCGTGTAGCAAAAAAAAACACACACACACACATACAGATTTTTAAATGCTGCTTGGCATTTGATTATCAGATGGAGGGGGATTACAGCCGGATGGTCCTGATAATGTCAGATTGGTCGATAAACTACTCAAAATTCATCTAAACTTTCTGATTACGGTTTATAAATCTATGTTTTGTCCCTCAGCGGCAACAAAAATATCTTTTTTTATGTATCTTATATCCTTCTTCATCCTTTTAACCAGTGGAAGAAACACTTGGATTAATTATTGAGCCATTTGAATCATTCTTTCCATTCAGTCTTTATTGTGACCCGCTTTGTCTGCATCCACCATCGTGCGAACCCAAAAACTCGGGATGTGGAAACTAAAATGAGCAACATTTTCTGCTCTCTGAACTGTTGAGGTTGTGAGCGGCTGACGTGCCCTTGAGCAAGGAATTCAGCCCAGTAATTGCTCCGGAGAAGCCTTTAAAGAGTCTGTGGTTGTACTGGGCAGCATCCAGGACATAATGAGTGTAATGGTGTGAATGTGAGAAAAGAGGACAGCGCTGAAAAGAACTCGCTGTCATCTCAATTAATAACTATTTCAGAAAAAAAGAAGAAAGAAAACCACAGTCCACTTAATGGTCTGAAAGCTTGTATCTACAATTAAAATTTCCTTTGCGATTGACCTGTTGTGGCCAAAATGTGGAAAATGTCTCAACAACTTGGGATGAGGCCAAACCGCTGGCAGTGAATTATAATAGTATGTAAAAATCAGTGCTTCAACAGGAAATTACTTATTTGAGATATAAATGCTGCTGCAGCATAGTAATGAAAATGTCAACACAAATCAGCCAGAATAATAACACACCGTGAAGTCTTACTGTTCAAAGCAATTTTACGCTGATAGAAAAGATTTACAGACGTCACTGTTATGATGTGACTCCGCCCTCTCCAAAAAGCTCAAAATCTGGCCGCCCCTCCCCTCCATCTTACTTGCAGTCCAGCCTCTCAATCTCAAAGTGCGGGTTGAAGTTGAGGACGATGCGCTGCGAGGGCTCCGGCGCCGTGATGATCCAGTGGCAGTTCTGGTGAGGCGGGTACTCCAGAGGATAACCCGGGGAGGTGATGTAACCGGCCTCGCTGGCATCGAAGACGCCTCCGCACTCTGCTGCTGTGATGGAGGCAGGGAGAGACAGAAGGGTTATTGATTGTAACATTTTCCTTTTAGACATAGTTTTTATGGATTTCTGTCACTTGCATGGCGTCAAACCATATAAATCCCCTGTAAATAGTACACTCCCTAGAACAGTGACTCAGAGGACGCTTCTTCATTTTCCTCGTTTCTCTGTATGAAGATGTGATGAGCAACAAATGAACAGTAAAACAAAGAAAGCAATTTAGGCCGTCAGTTAGTAGGAAATTGGAAAAACTTCCCCATTGTGGATTGTCAATGCGAGTGGGACCACATGGGCAAGCTATTAAAACAATAAAAGATCATCACTGCTGCATTTGGCGCACACACATACCCACGCACACACCCATATGCAGAGGAACACACAGCCTTTTTCACCCTCTTCCACACCCAGGCTCTTATCTCTCTAGTTCCCCGTTGGGAGCGTTCTCCAAGTGTAATTGTTGCTCCGGCAAGCCAATCTGCAAACATTAGGACACATTCCCTGATCCTATCACGCTCTCCCAGGAACAATAGCCTGCCAATGGCATCGCTCGGCAGGCTTAGACAGGAAGTGACACACAGACGGCCTGTCTAGCGGGGGTTCTGGGGGTCACCCCGACTCTGTAATGAGAAGCTAACGCTGCAACAAAGGCCCTATTCTCTGCTTATGCCCTGACAGCTAAGGCGGCTCTCGCGCTTCGCGTTATCTCCCGTAAACACGCTAAACACATAAACTCACATGCACATACAAAAGAAACATGTATATGGGTATTCTGCATGTGTACACACACACACAGCCTTGTGCACAATGGTTCTTTTATTACTCTTGCATTGCAATAGATTTGCAGGCATTATTATTCTTTACGAAGGCAAAAGCGAAACGTGTTCTCCATGACAACAGTGAGCAACAGTGGTTGGGGGGGGGGGGGTAGAATACCTACCCTGATATATGTGTGCTCGTGTGTGTGCTGATGCCACAGCGCGGGAATCTTAAATTAATGAACCTTTGTGATCATTGAATCAAGAGGGACAAGATGGTTTTCTTCAATATTGTTGCTGGGTGGAGCACGACCAGTAAGGCAGAGACACAGGGAGAAGGGAAAGAGGGCGTATATCGGCAACACACTGAAGCTTTATGGTAATGATGCGATAAAAAGAACCGTTAGACAGCGCGAGCGCTGAGCTGAATCTATGTCCTGGAAAAATGGATTATGATTCTGCCTGTTTTCTTTCAAATTTCGGTAGTGAAGAGCAGCCAGTGTAAAGCAAGCCGAAACGAAGAAGAGAGCAGGCGAAACGCTTGAGGATGTCATAGACCTCAATGACTGAATTCGTCGCACGGCTGCGGCCGGCGGGCGCGGCGATTTGTGTTGCTTAGGAGAGGGACGAGGTTAAGATCTCTCGACATGCGTTGATAGACGCTGCGATGGCTTTCAACTTTGTTACTGAGAGGAGCGATGCGCCACGCTCGCGCAGCAGGACACCAGCTGCCGGTGAGTTTCCAGTGGTGCACGACTCAGACGCCACACGCGACACGCGCACCGCACCACACATACAAGCTGTTAGCACAATGCGCAGCACCCGACACATAAACACGAGTTCAGCTAGCATGGCAGCACACGAAGGAGTACAGGGGGCAATGCTTAAACACATTCCCACGCATTCATGCACACACACGCACAGCCGTGCTCAATGTTCAAACGCGACACACGACACATACATCCAAACAGCCATACAGAGCATTGTCAATCACGAGGCCGGAAGAGGTGAAAAAGAACAGTACTGAGAAATTCAAAAAGATAGAGGAGGCACAGAATGACAGAGACAGACAGAAAGGCCACACACACACACACACGCAGGACATGCTCTTTATCTGCGCGGCCGTGCAGGACAGACCGTCATTGTTGGGAAGCCTATCGGATGGGAACGGTGAGGCAGGAGGCTATCAGCACACAGAGCCCCGGCAGATAAGTCGTTTTGGAGAATCCTGCAGCCCTCAAACCACTTTTTCCCTGGCTGCCATCATTGGCCTCCAAGGAGGATGAGACGGACGGGTGGAGGAGAGGAGGAGCGGGAAGGGAAGGGTGAGAGGATTACAGCGGGAAAGTGGAATCCCAGAGGAGAGAGGATGAAGTGAAGAGGAGAAAACGAGGGAGAGGACAGGGGCGATGGATAAAAGATGGACTGGGGAAGAAGAGGGGGAAGAGGGGAGAGTTGACGGAAAGGAGGAAGTGAAGGGGTGGGTGGGTATTGTACGATGCGCGGCGCGCGAGGACATTAGGTGGAAGAGGGAGGACGAGTGATCAGGCGGAGAGGGAGGAAGTCGGAGGGAGGCGACAAAAGGTGTGAGGAAGGAGAAATAACAGGGGGTGAGAAAGAGCGAGAGAGAGAAGATGCAGTGAGTGAGATGGAGCGAAAGGACTGTGAGTGGAGTGTGGTGTGTGGGTGTGTGTGCAGGAGAGCCTGACGAGCCTCATTAAGACATGCCTGCTATCCAGCGGCTCCCTGTAGACACTGACCCACTGGAAACCTTGCCAGTCAGCTCACAACCACACTCGCACTGGCAATATGTGTGTGTGTGTGTTGTGTGTCCGTGTGGGTTTTGGTTTTTGTTTTGCTGCTGCTAAGAAAAAATAAAGAAGAGGGATGCAGCAATATATCTTGACAAATGAACCGCTGTGAGAAGATTCTGATGACAGATGTGTGTGTTTTTTTTCCCATATATTGCTTGAATATCCGTGACAATTAGTTAGTACAAAATATGTTA